GAGAAAGCTGCCTTATGAGAAGCTCAATTCTTTAGCTTTGTACAGGGGCAATTCTAAGATAAGAGCTTTAGGGGTGTTGAGCACCCAATGAGACCAGACCCCCCACCTCCCACCCCTTTTTTTCTCATCATATCTTCTATCATTCTAAACGCATACAGAGAGTACCAGTCTAGCACCTTGACTTTAATATCAACACATAGGCCTACCGACAGCACAATAGCTCACATCTCTCACTTGAATTCAAACAGTGGACGGTCATTGATTGAGAACCTGCAACATTAGTGTGCTAGATAAAAAACATCAGATAGCTAATAAGAACAACATAAAGAGTGATCTGTGATTCAGTGCAGCAAAAATGACGACTGCTGCTAATGATTGTAATGTGTTGGTGCTAAGTGATGAGAAATCCTCATCTGCGCTACTTACTGGAGCCACCACCACTGGCACTTGTGTGCCTACGTGTGTTTGTCTGAGCACGCACGCTCAGCAGAGTTACTGCACGGCTTTAAAGAGAGCAGGGCGGGGGAAGAGAAGGAGAGAAAATGGATCATAGCATTTGAGACAAACTTCCGTTTTTAAAAAAAATAAATAAATAAATAAAATAAAAGGCCTTCTTAGTCTTATTTTAGGGGTGCTTGGACTCGGTGCTTGGAAAGGGGCTAGATACGCCTATGGCTACGTATACCCAACTTGAAGTATGAAACCTGAGTGTAATCTTAGACTCTGAGCTGTTTTATCCCATTGCTCATATGGATACATACATACATATATATATATATATATATATATATATATATATATATATATATATATATATATGGACATATGTTTTTGTATACTTGAAATTCACTAAAATTCAAAATCACTAAAAGCCTTAATACACCTCGCATTTAAAAAATTATCTGACAATAGTTACTCTGTACTTACATATTGAATTTGCAATATTACTTGTAAGTACTACATATTTACAATTAAATTCTGAACAAGTTCTATTACACTTAGCTGACACTGTGTGTACCCAAAAATTACCTTTAAGTTCATCATATTTACCTATTAAATGCTGAGTAAGCATAGCTGTACATATCTATTATTTTTATTATTTTTTTAAATGTGCATTGCCATGTATGTGCAAAGTCTATACTAGAAAATTACTTGGAATTCCTTAAGATTTACTTATCAAATTCTGAGTAAGTGCAACTGTAAGTACATAGTAAGTTTTTTTCAATGTAAATTACTGTGCATGTGTATGATATATATTTTTCAAAAAACAATAAAATTTGTCAGTTTCCACATTTGATTTTTTGTCTTTGCACCATTATTAATGAAATATAGGGTTTAAAATCATTGCATTTTTATTTACATTTTGCACAGCAACCCAACTTTTTTGGGAATGGTGTTGTACTTTTTTTTCCAACTTGGATCAACTGAGCATATAAAGGTTTCTGAAGGAATAAATCCTAGAAACACATCCAGTTTAAATTACAAGACTATTTAGAGGGCAGGCATTCAGTACATGTGAGATTTGTCCCCATCATTTCATTAGAAGAAAACATTAGGACAGGGACAGGGGCATCTTACCCTGGGGGGCTTCTTCCTTTAAATTACCCTCTCTCATCAGAACATTGCCATTTACACATGATATTCTACCTAAAACATCAGTCATCAAAGAATCAGAACCTCATTTAAACACATCTGTGTGAATAAAAAAAAGATATACTGAATGTCAATTTAATGTCTAGCATAGAGAGTTCAAGATTTTGTTTAACCACTCAGAGAAAATAAGACATGTATTAAAGTAAATCCAGTGCTTACCAGCACACACCAGACCCACATCACTGTCGTGGGAGCAGTTGTGTTTGAGTGAAGATGATGTTGGACACAAGTGAATCTGAGATTCGTTGCCTCTACACTGAAGCTCCTCTGACCACACCTGACCCTCCCCTCTGCCAAAAGCAGCTGCTCCCAGCACCTCCACAGGAAGCCCACAGCCCAGCTCTCGACACACAACCTCTGCATCCTGCTGGTCAAAGTCAGCATCACACACTGTGGACCAGGTCTCTCCATGAAGCACCTCCACTCTCCCAGAGCAGCGAGAACCACCAACCAGCCTGACTTCTTACATGAGGAAAACAAAGAGAACACAGAAGGCACTATTATTCATATCAATATGTTGATTTACATTCACTCATAATTTTAATAATAATAGTTATAATATGACAAACAACAAAAGTACTGGTTTTAGTGACATAATAAATGCTATATAAAAAAAAAAACATTAATATTATTAATATATTACAGTGGTTGGTTACTTGGTTGAGCCCAAAGTGGGAGAAAGGGTTTAATGTTCTCCAGATTTGCGGTGAAGTTCTCAGACTAACATTAGTTAGGCCTAAAGTAACAAATCTGTGCTTGTGGTAGATTATGCTAATCATTAAAATGAAGGCATCATTAAATGTAGCTGACCTGGCCAGCCGTAATCTACTTTTCCTTCAACTCATTCCTACAGCAATCACAAAAGGGACGGGGGGCAAGGATTTATTTTTAGGAAACAGTACTATGTATGAAATGTGCAAGCTTGTTATGTACAACGCTAATTAGTTGTGATAATAAGTAATTACATTTCCATTATTCACACACTAGTTAACTGTTCATTAAGCATTAGTTATTACTTAAGTACTTAGTAATTAATAACACTGTTAACTGAGTTTAGTTTGTTATTGCTACATAGCTTAATTGCTCATTAATTGTGTATTAACTGCTGTGTATTACACTTATAATGAACTGATGTGTGTTTACTTACATAAAAATGTAACATAAAAACTTAGAAGTCCTGTTAGAAGTTTGTCCTGTTAATAAATCTACTGACTTACAGATATTAATGAATTTCTACTTTGTGTTCTTCCCAGTAAAGCAGCTGTCATTTCTCCAGGACCATGATTGTGACCCCTGCAGTAAAGTGGTCATTTTCCCTTCTAATTATAGCCTCATACAAACTTATAATTACGACTCAATTAGTTATTGATACCTTAAATTCCTTTTTATGTTGCCACAAGTAAAGCAGAAAATATGCATACATAAACAAGTATTGTTTACTTTATATTATTCTACACAATAAAACAAACAGGAATTTATTGTTTTTATTAAACTAAAATAAATCCTTCGCACTTGCACATCTAATACAATAACAAGGTGTTTAGGTATCTGAAAGTGATTTTCCAAGGCATCACTCCAGAGAGAACCATTTGGGCATCTTAAAATTTAATATAATAAGACAAGCATGTGATAGATTGTCAATATTTGTCGGTCAGAATGTAACTGCTGCACCATTTGAGGTGGAAGGGAAAAATTTGAACAAGAAGTTGGCAAACAAGAAGCTGACTTCATGTGATTTAGTGTTAAAATATCCCACCTACCGTGTTATGTAGAATTTGACCTATAAATATGTGCTTCAATAGGACAGTTTGTCAAAGTAGCACAATTCAACAGAATACTGGCACTTTTCTGGTTGTTAATATTAATTAGCCGATGCCTATTGTCAACTATTGTTAGCTAATGTTTTACACAACCTTATATTAATATGCAATTAAACACTAAAATGTTCATAATAAGCAGCGGATAGTACACAGTTAATGAGTAAATAAGTGAAACTACCAGTTAACTAGGAAAATAATTACAGGAAATAATTAACTGATTAATTAATTCATTAATTCAGAGGGACAAGATATCCAACTCTCACACCAAAATTTCTGTTTAATTCCCATATCTCCACAAATCATTATAGAAAATAATTAAAATAATTATGTATTTCTGCTAAAATTATGTGATAATAGTGCTACAGGGAGATTCACTCGAATATTCGAAATAAGGCCCCGAATATTCTGTAATAACTCTTGCGAGGACGAAGCAATCTGAATGAAACAACATGCACTGTGCTCCTCAGTATATGGAGCTTCGAAGAAGCTGGGATGCCCCTGCATTGGAGTCTGGCAGAAAATGGAGATCACTTCCAGCATCACATGTAATGCAATCGATTACACATACATCAAGGTATGCAGCGTATTTTTTGGTTCAGATTGCTGTTGTTACAACAGAATATTCAGGGCCTCTTTCGAGTGAATCTTCTTGTATAAAACTCTAACTCATTTGTTTCTGCTTCATTCTCACCTATTATGTCATTGAATGGTCAAGCACCTTTTTATGTGCAGACACTATTGCAGACTGTAATCAGGGGCATCACCATGGATTATGGGCCCCATAAAATGGTATATCTTCAAAATGCTGTAAGTAAAAAAGTTTAAAATAGATGTAATAAATAACTAAAATATAGACTAAGACAGAGCCAGCAAGTGAACCAATAAAAAATATCCATTACATTTCAAAATGAGAATTATTGCAGTTTACCTGAACAGATCATTGCAGCAGCTTTAGTACGATCACAGACACGCTTATCTGTTTCCACATCTCTTCCCCCACATGTGTTGATTGAAGACTCGAATCCATTACATATTCTTCCATAATTCCAGATTGGCCCTAATCCTCGGCCAAACTTAGCATCACTCAGTACATCTAGAGCCTCTCCACAGCCCAGCTGTCTACACACCACTGTAGCAGCAATCATATCTAAGTAACCATCACACAATGTTCCAAACCCATCTTTACGATAATAATCAAATCTTCCAGCACAGTGTCTGCCTCCACCTGCCAGCTTTATAATATCTGTACATCAGAGAGAGAAATAAAGTAGTGAAGACAGATAAAAGAAAACAAACAAATAAAAGAGTTAGTAACAACTGTTTGTGGCTTCATATGGTCAGCTGCTTATTTTAAATACTCTAGTGCTACTACAGTGATAATGTACCTCCAAATGGAGAACATAATTTAGAAAAATATTATTATGATCTAAGAAAATACATTTGAGACCATAAAAGTTATTGTGTTTAATAAGAGTTGATATTTAAAGATTTAATTATTTATTTGTATTTATTTATATAACTACTTACCGGCTGTGGTGAGTGTGATTGTGGAGGACAGAAGAATGAGAGCCACACAGCTGTCCATCTCCCTCTGACCTGCACACAGTCCATTCAACTCAGCAGCAAAACAAGCTTCACCTCCGATCCCCCAGAGAGACTGAAGAAAGAGAGAGAGAGAGAGAGAGAGAGAGAGAGAGAGAGGCTCCCCACAGCCACCAATCACACTCACTATGACCTTATTAGAAAGAGAAGAGGAAATCATCAAACATTTTCAGTGACAAATCAGAGGAGGCGTTTTTTCTTTCTCCATGTTCATCAAAAGAGCGTCAGCACTGATGAACAGAACTCCACCTCCGTCTCTAGAGGTGTGTGTGTGAGGAGAGACGCTCGCAGCAGTGTGGTGAGAAACACACCAACATACAGGAGACTGACTTCAGAGAGGAAACACTCCAGTGTAATATAGCATTAATGCTGCACCTGCAGAGAGCTGATCCACACACTGATAACCATCTCACACACACACACACACACACACACACTGATATTCTACTCACATACACACACACACACACACACACTGATCACCTACTCACACACACACACTCACACACACTCACACACACACACACTGATAACCTACTCACACACACACACATCCCACACCCCCACACAAATAAATTACTAACACATTGATAAATTACTCTCACACACACACACATTCGCAAGGCCAATAAACTACTCTTTCTACACTCTCTGATCACTTGCACACACTGACAACCTTCTCAGACACAAACATACACACTGATGCACTACCCTGAGACAATCACAGAGATGAACTAATCACACATACATACAAACTACTTAGACACAAACACACATTGATGAACTACTCACACACACTAATAACTTACTCACACTGACACATACACACCGATAGACTGCTCACTCAGACAGATACACAAACACACATACACTGATAAACTACTCACTCAATACAAATATTGTCCATTAGGTTAATTGTTTTGTGAATTATCGTTCTGTGTATTTATTGTATATTCTATTCGTGTTTTACACTGTTGTGGATCTACACTGTGTGCATTTCTGTGTAATGTGCTGCTGTTTGTGTTGCACCATGGACCTGAAAATTGACAATCAGTTCCAATGTATAATAGTCCAGCAATGATAAATAAACACAACTTGACTCTCTTCTTTACCTCTCTCTACCCCCTCACCACATCCCCAGCTCTCTCTCTCTCCTGCTCCTCTACACACACCTGCTGATGCGCAGCTTCCTGTTCTTCCACTTAATCAAAAACTTCAAAGGATAAACAGCTTCAGCTGCCAAACAGATTCTTATCAGCAGATCACATATTTACCACATCAGATACAGAATTACCACAGCGATATAAATGTGTTCTGATACAGGACATCATTTAGCTTCATGTAGTTTTGGCCTGGTCAGACAATAGATTTAAACCCTAGATAAAATATTTAGTCTGACAAGACAAACTAGCTTGACAATGTTTTTCAACTGTTTGAAACCATAAGTGCTGAGTGGAATAATATTAAGTCTTCATTTTATAAAAGACTAATGGTTTGTTGACAAGACCTTTAAAAGCTTAATACTTTGACTGAGCAGAGCGCGTTTAATGTGGGGTGTCCAATCCTATCTGCAAAAGGCGAATGTGGAACATCTTATTTTCTACAAAGCAGGAGAACACATGATAAACACATGATAGACTGAGGCTAACTGGCTAATCCAGTGGAATCATGTGTGATCCTGCTTGGTTGGAATGAAAACTTGTTCCCGAGAATTAAATGTAGTGACAGCATTTCCACATTTATGCAGTGTTTTTATTTAACATTTTTTCTAGATTTAGTTCTGCTTCTCAGTTTGGTAAACAACATTTTTTTAACTAATTTTTTCCACTATCTGGGACTCTTTCCATCATTCATCCCAGCCTATCACGCATTTTTTCCTGTTTGGCACTCACATTTGAATTGCAGGGGTGCCCAACCCTGCAGAGATTTGCTCCAAGCCTAATCCATTCCACTTGATCCAGGTTATGAAGGCCTTCATGGACATCTGATTATCAGAGTCAGGCGTGCTCGATCTACCTCCTAACTATTACTACTACTACTATTAATATTAGTAGAATAATAATTTTGTACGTAGTTTGACCAGAGGAGGATGGGACCCCCCATGTGTGCCTTGGTTCCTCCCAAGGTTTCTTCCTCAGCTCTGAGGGAGTTTTTCCTTGCCACTGTCGCCCCTGGCTTGCTCACCTGGAGGATTTACATTTCATGTTGAAACTTTGTTCTAAACGGATTTCTGTGAAGCTGCTTTGTGACAACATCAGTTGTAAAAAGCGCTATACAAATAAATTTGATTTGATTTGATTTGATTAGATCTGAACTTTCCACAGAGGCAGATCTTCAGATCCCTACAACATTGCTGGGATTCATCTCTCTGGTCATCGGCTTTCTGTTGTTTTTGGGTGCTCCCGCTGCCCCTCTAATCTAGCCTTCTCCTAAAGCCTGGCTTGCGGTTTCTTTTGATTTGCTCACTCTGTTTGTATCTGCCTCCAACTTAAACAACCTACCTGCGTCTCTGCTCTGTAGAGTGATATTTGGAGATCTGTTCATTTACTTATTACACTATACAATCAAGACTGAACTGAATAAGCATTTGCATAATACTGAATGTGCAGCCTGACTGGTGAGCAGCTACAAAGAGCAACAAAGGAAAAAAAATGAATAAAGAAAGAAAACAATGTGAATCACACTGGCAATGAGCAATTTCAATTTGACATGAAATTACCATGAAATTAAAGTTAATGTGTGCAATGTAAACATTTTTGACTTTTTTCTAATGTCTTTATTTATTTATATATGTATTTATTTATTTAAACCTCATTTCCAAAAAAATTGTGACGCTCTGCAAAATGTATATAAAAGCAAAATTTAATGATGTGCAAATAATTTAAACCCTATATTTAATTGAAAATAGTACAAAGACAACACATCAAATGTTGAAACTGAGAAATTTTATTGTTTTTTGAAAAATATATGCCCATTTTGAATTTGATGCCAGCAACACATTCCAAAAAAGTTGGGATGGGGGGAGTGACCTCATACTTCTCTAGAAGCTCTTGCAGCTTTGCTTTCTCCTTGACTGTTAGCACCCTGCTGTACCACCTCCACAGCTTGATGATTGCCTGTTTGGCCATCTGTTGTCATTTTTGGAAGCTCACACTGCCCCTCTAATCTAGCCTCTTCCCCAAGCCTGGTGTGTTGGTTGATTTGCTCTCTCTGTTTATGGCCGGCAGCTGCCTATTCCCACATGCAGAGGTCTGGAAATGAATATGTAATACTGTGAAGCAAGGGGCTAATAGTTGATTATGACGATAAAGGGCCCTATTTCCTATCCAAATCCTAGCAGTCTGCATTTTGCTCTACCGTAGTGTGCTGGGTTCTGTAATAGAGCAAATATGTGGAACCATCAAGCAGGCCCCAAGGACTACAGTCCTTCTATTGTTTTCATAGACCGACAAAAAAAGTATTTTCCCCTGTAAGGTATGTTGCCCCACAATCAGATCTATATAGCATTTAAAAAGATAAAAGGTGGAAAACCTTTGCTTTTCTTTCTCTCTCTCTACATTCTTCTCTTCAGTAGACTCGCATGGTCTTGGCAGGTCCTTGGATTGAATAATGACCAAACTTACATTATTGTGCAATTCACTATCCACTTGAAATTGTGCATCTGAATCTGCCAAGAATCTGCCAGCTATGTGGTTCTCTTCAAATCTTTTTCTTTTTCTAAATGTAAAATGTATTAGAAGGTTCAAATTCAAAATAGCATTGTGCTTGTTAATTTAGATGAATGAGATCAAGACCTATTTATAAAACAAAATAAAAGGTTTCTGCATCAGATGCCACAATGTAATAACTTGCATGGCTGGCATTTGCTTATTTTACGATTTTATTTAGCTGTTACTGTAAACAAAATTTAAAGTTAATGAAATTATTGAATTATCCTATGCTTTTGTGACATCTATGTGTGGGAATTTCTCTCTGCACCTCCTGAGGTCTCTCTTACCTCAGTACTGAGCAGTGTCCCATTCACCTGGATACAATTTTCAATAATAATCAGGCTGCTTTAACAAGCATTTTCAATATTGAGTTCCTTTTAATAAAACTCTTCACACAGTTAGTACAACACCACTCTGATCAAACCATACGCAGACAGACACATACATTATATATATATATATATATATATATATATATATATATATATATATAGGTTAAAACTAGTCAAAACTTGAAAATGAAAAGTGACAAAAACAAGAAAAGAAAAGAAACACTTCTGTTTCTATCCCTCTGTCTCAGGAAGCTCTACCACATCATCATAGTCTGAAAGTGGAAGAACAAAAGTAAATATAACTTAGCGTGTTTAAAATGTATCTCATAACATATAAAGCAATGCTATGTGCAAGAGCAAAACAAAAAAAAAAAAACATTTAATCTGTCTCCAGCTCAATAAAATCTCTGTAGACTTACTTGCTGCTTCTCCTAAATCCTGTCCAAGAGGGATGACATCATCATAGCTCTCTGATTTGTACACTGCACCAACATATGTGGACAAATTTTGATATCAGTGGTTTTATTATTGATGATACTGTAAACAAATGATACTGGTTCACAATGTGTTCTCAATTCATTTCCTATTTTTAGAGAAACAAACCTGCTGTAATGTGTGGATTCTGTTTAGCAGGCATGGCATCATCATAGATCTCCACCTTGTTCTCTATAAAAATATAGAAATAAATGTGAGTATCAGAGTCAGTAAGCTTGATATTCTAATGTTAATTGTACAGTATTGTTACATAACAAAGTGCAACTGTCTCTGTTCAGCAGTAACTAAAAATAGTAAATTATTAGAAGTAGCCTAGTTGCTGCAGCAATCTAGATCTCCACATATGCACAGCTTCATTCTGGGAGGGTAAGGGCATCGTTAACACAACATTCTTGGAGATGAGTTCTAACTGCTAAATTGTGTACACGTTCCAAAAAAGTTGGGAT